GTACCTTTTGACATACTCATTAACTCTATTGTTCTAGACAATTCCTTTGTCTAGGTCTTTGGAGGGGTTATCTCAGATCATGTGATTTGTAGAACCTTTGGGTTTGACAATCCTTTTCTTCATTTTTGTTTTTTGCTTCCAATTTTTGTTTTTCAATCTCTTCCTTCCTATCCTTCTTGCAAATAACTTCTGTCTCTTTGTAGTTCCAAAGAAACCAGGAGATTAGATACCTGTCTCAACCCAGTATTTACCTGGATAAACCTTCTTTCAAATTGGAAAACATAAAGATGTTATGGAAGTTTCTTCATCAAGGCCATTGGTACCCACTTTGGATACACAGGATGCTTATCTTGCTGTCCCTATTCATCCATCATTACATCATTTTATTCACTTTTGTTATCACATGAGGAGGGGGTATTAGTTCATTACCCTTTCTTTTGGCTTCTCTTCTGCTCCACAAGTTTTCTGTTGAGCAGTCAAAACATTTGATGGTCTTCTAGCTTCAATAGTTTGATATCAACTTTCAGTTTTCCATGGATGATTAGCTTATAATGACCATTTTTTCCACTCAGTATCATAAACACACTCATTTGATCACCCAAATGAATACATTTCTTGGGTGGATCATCCACAACTCCATTTAGTACCAAAACACAGTATTTGATTAATATATCTGATATTTAGGAGAAACATGGTTCAAGGAACACTTTGGTCATCTGCTATAACATTTTTAAGCTTTGGAGTGTTGTGTTCACACTCTTCTTGTCTTCCACACCTACCACCAAAGACATCCTTTCTCTTTTGGGGATGATGTTCCCCACTTCACAAACTTATTCCCTTGGGGCTTCCTCACATGCACCACCTTCAATAGTACCTTGCTTCTCAGTGCATCTGTCTTTAGACCTATTATCATAACAGCAAAATTTCCATTTTTTCATGTTACTTTGACCTTCATCTTTTCATAGATACCTATTTCAAGGGTTGAGGCACTGTGTTGAGGAATCAACATAATTCTGGTTCTTGGATTTCTTAAAAAGCAACAACTCTCATCAACATATTAGAATTTTGGGCTGTTCAACATACCTTTCTCAAGTTTTAGCCATTTTTAACTACCATTCTATGTTAGTTCACACAAACAACTTACATCAAAAGTCAGGGCAGTACTTATTTTCAAGGTCATTGTTTTCTTCCCACAGAGTTGACCCTTCACTCTGATTTACCAATGTTTGAGTCATTTAATGATCAATGCCTTCACTACTTTGATCAGTCATCTTCTTTCACTTTATTGCTCTTCAGTTCCAGATTTAGTTTTCTTAGCAGTGGACACCCTAATGTTCGTCTATGGAGAATCTCTTCATTTATGCATATCCTCTGCCCCACCTTCTTTCTCTCATCCTCCATGGTCAAGATCAGTGACTTGAAAAGTCCTAGTGAAAGTTGTTTATACCTTACAAAGAATCATGCTTTTTGGAATCTGCTCCAATTACTTTAACAAATTGGCTTGTGTAATTGCTCTTTTTTATTTATTTGGATCTTCCTATAGATCTTAAAAATATATTTTGAGTTATGTCTCACCAAAATTTGCCACTTGGCATTGTCTTTGGTGTCTTGTTCGTAGTATCTTTTTTGAGGATAATCTGCAGGCCAAGTTGTGAACAAATTTGAATATATTCTTAACATATTATTTATGTTATTTTGTCTCTGATTGTAGATTTTCAAGCCAGATGGAAACATTAGCAGGTGAGTTATTATATTCTCTGTTCTCTGCTTATTTTGTATGTGGACACACACCTTTGTTGTGCATTGTAACTCAGGTATGGCTATAAGGCCCAACATCTCTTTAACTATAATAGAGGCTTCTGGCATTGTAGAATTAGTTGATTAAATAATATGAGACTGTGTTTGAATGGATTTGTCCAATTGGATTCTTGCTTGTTTCACACACACCTCTGAGAGCCCCCCCAGTGGCACAGCGGTATGTCTGCGGACTTACAACGCT